GAAGCTGCGGGCAATTTTTTAACCCTCTTAAGGACCCTAAACGAGGCGTGACCTACGGGGGGGGGCGGGGTTAAGGTACAGAGTTTAATAGAGGAAATGGTGCATAGTTAGGCAAATTCCTAGAACGAAAACCCAATAGCTTTACAGAAATAGACAACGCAAGAAAAGAATATTTCACGATCAATGTCATTTACGATGACAGAGTGGAATGATCTGTCGTCTATACGATGCGCCAAACTTGGAACGTGGAACAGCTGTGCCAATCGTGCTGTGTTGCGCCAAACTTTTTTTTCATTTAAATAAATTTAAACGAAAGCGTTGTTTTCACTTCTATGCCACAAACTCTTTTATCAGTGCCATACTGCGCCGTGACATCCGAATTCAGACGCAAGGTGCTACAGCCATCAAGCCCTGTGCCTGAAAACGTGGCTGTAACATCGTGTTTTCGGTTTCACCGAAACGGCGTCCTTAGAAAACTTTATTGTCACAGACAATTATACCGTCAATAATTTTACAACAAAACACTTTCTGGCTAGACATGCGTTGACGAGGATAGTTTCGGTTTAGCCAAGGCTGTGATTGGCGGTTGGCTCAACAGGCAGTTCACGCGCCTCAGCATAGAAAAAGAAAGGACGGGGATTTCACAAGTGATGGGACCAAGCTCTATCTTCTTTTTATGTGGGTTTTCCAGCTCATTACACCAAAGTGTCTTGTATAAAATAACTAAACTTTTATATAGAGGGAAGGCTTTTTTTTGGTCGAATACTGTATAGTGCCAAAAAAAAAGTCGCAGTTTCGTCAAAAGGGTGAAGTAGTGAATGCGATAGCAACATACTCGAATGTTTTACGAAGTAAGGCTAGCATTTTTAGGAGCAATAATAATTGTAGTAAACATGCGCTTGTTATGTAACCGATTTCCCTGCTGCGGGGCCACAGTAGATGACCACCACAAGGCTTGTGTGTGGTGACGGCGTTGATGAGAATTTATCGCCTCCTGTGGGCAGCGCATGCTGCTTCTAAAGGCCTTACGTCGAGTGTCGCCGCTGGTGGCAGTTTGTTATGCGTAGAATGCGTCTATATGTGGACGGCTGCACTAGGTGCACTCTTTGCACCGTTTTTTCGTGTTGAGAGCGCCGCCCGTAGAAGCTCCCGCCTGCTGCGGGGGCACAAGCTTCCCGCTGATCGTTAGAGCCCCCCCCCCTCTCCTTGTTCGCTCACGAGATAAGCGCGCGCGCAGACGGCCCCGGCCGGAAAGGCGATGTTTGCTCCCCAGAAAGAGGAGTCTAGCGCTTCCTTCTCCGCATATATATACATACGTATACGTGAATGACGGCAGCTCCGGTGGTGTTGGCTCCAGTGGTGGTGATGGTGGCGGCAGAGACGGCAAAAACCAGCCGAGACTGTCTATATAATTGCTATCGCAATAAAGCAAAACGAAATCAATTTTTTTTTCTTTGCGAAATGAGGAGACTCATTCTGGAAGCTCTTTATCTGTGTCTTCGCCACTTCTCGTCCTTTTCGATTTGTGCGCTTATATCGAGTATGAATTCCCAACAAACCTAACCATACGTGGTTCCGCATCTTTATTCTTTCCGTGGCGTTCGTCGCCTGCACATTGTACCTCGCTCGAATTCACGCAATCGGAGCTTCGAACGCGCAGCACCGAACTTTGTGGGTCGGTGTCGCTGCTTGGCGGAGCGCACTGCTTTCGGCGTATTTGTATATGTGCCTCTTTTGGGAACGGTTCCCCACTACCTCCGTCTCTTACTTTCAGTCTTGTGCCTAGGCGATAGGCACTGCGTATGAGTGTCCTCTGGAAGCGAGCCCGTACCGATGGAGCCCCGTCCTCCGGGATCCGCGTTGTCACATTGTACGGCCGCTGAATTTCGAATTCAGACGACGTATACTCTCTTTGGAAGAACGTGGGGATTTATTCTCGGTATCTCCGTTGCCTGGGCCGCCTTGCTGTCTACTGAAGCCGGAGAGAAATAGCGGGAAGTAAGGCTATTGCCGAACGAAGTTATTCTAATGTTCGTTCCATTTATTTTTTTCCCTGCCTTTCGCATTTTTTTGTGTGTGTGTGTTTCGAACTTCAGATCACTAGCCACGAAATTCTGATTTATTCGATTTTCAGGGTAGTCGTGAAAGGGGCAGTGATTGCGTCCACCTCTGTTCGTAGTTGAAAAAAAAGAAAGTATTGTATCGAAGCGTATACGTTTATTTCCGTTTCAGTGAATTGAACAGTTGTTGAAAAAAGAGAGAGAGAGCATCGCCGAAGTGAGTTAGATGTACCTTCCGTGAAACGCATTTTTTTTTGAAGAAAGAAATGCCGTAGATAAACGTCTGGTGTCAACCTGTAGCAAGAACAAGACATTGGCCTACACAAAGCTATACACAGTTAACCACCGTCGTCGCTGACCTGTCGTGGCAGCACACCCGGCCAAATGATATATGGTCGTCTGCACGTGTGATGCACTGCAACCACGGTGCGCATAGGCGCGCAAACGGGCTTTTTAAAAGCTTTTTTTTATGTATTTTGCAGGCATTCGAAGTAAGTCGAATAACACTAATACATAACAGACAAAAAAGTTAGAAACTGCCGAATCGGACGTTTTGCAAGCTAGTTTGCAGCATTCTCACTGGAATTCGCCCAGCTACACTGCTTTAAAGTCCGCCGCGGAAGACGAATGCAAAAAAAGGGTGCTCACCAGCTGACCTGAAGGTCGCGGGTTCGATTCCGGCCGCAATGTTGTAGGCCCGTGTGCTCAGATTTGGGTGCACGTTAAAGAACCCCAGGTGGTCTAAATTTCCGGAGCCCTCCACTACGGCGTCTCTCATAATCATATAGTGGTTTTGGGACGTTAAACCCCACATATCAATCAATCGATTCCGGCCGTGGCGGTTCAATTTCGACGGAGGCGAAATGGTATACAGGCCCGTGTACTGCACAATATCAGTGCACGATAAAGAACGCCAGATGGTCGAAATCTCCGGAGCCCGCCACTACGGCGTCCCTCGTAATCATATTTTGGTTTAGGGATGTAAAACACCAGATATTATTATATTATCACTGCTTCAAAAGTTAGTTGATTAAGGAGGAGGGTTGAAGGAGGAAGCACAGGGAGGTTGGCCAGTTCTCAGGCCGGCTGGCTACCCTGTACTGGGGAAGGGGGTAAGGGGGATAAAAGATGGGAGAAAAGAGACGTTGTAAAAAAAGGGAGAGAGAAGGTCATCAGACGATCCACAACGCTGCTTACAGTCTGTCTCTAAGACCACTTGCCCGCAGAAAGCGCAGCAACGCTCTCAATGCTTTTCGTGCAGAGGACGGTGTCGGCCAGTGTCCTAATACCCTTTCTTCCGGTAATTGGCGATTGTCTAGTCTATTTAAAGCTTTCGACAGTTCTTTTCTTGGCACGCTGAAGCGAGGACACTTGCAGAGATGATGGGAGAAAGTCTCTGCGCAGCCACAGTTGTCACATGTCGGGCGTCTGGCTATTCCGATTCGAAACAAATAAGCATTCGTAAAGGCCACTTCAATCCACAGACGGCACAAAAGTGTCTCCTTAGCTCTGGTTATTCCTGATGGAAGACGGAGCTGTAGGTGTGGGTCCAGAATGCCTAATCGGGTAATTAGGAAGGAAACAAAAAAGTCTGACTTACTCCATACAGTATACGTCAAGATGCATTCGGTCGCATCGTCATAGAATGTGTTTCCTTTCAGACTGATAAGCTAATCTTTCCATTCTGTAAAAGAAAAAAAACGCTACCTGTCATTCTCTTTGGTGACTGTTGATGTGCCTCACATATAACTATTTTTATAGATAGACGAAAGCTCTCTCTTCGAAAACAAGAGTCGCAGGAGGCGCGACTCTGCAAAGGAGAGTTGACGCACGTCCTTAATGGCAGATACATATGTGACATGTGAAAAATTGCCGAAAAGAGTAACAGGGGCTTTGCCTTCACATTCTCAAAAGCTGCTCTCCCCAACTATTTTACATATTCATTTGAAGAAAGAGTCGCGCTCCCTGCTCCGCGCATTATGCATAGGTAACTTGGTGTTTCCTATATTATATATGTATATATTTTAATTTCAGAAAGCGCGGAAACAAAAGTTTGACTTCGTGTTCGCGTAACTAAAAAACTACAGCATACCCACGGAGTGGCTGATGGTGAATCGGGTGAAGCGTCCGGCCGTTCGTCGGGACGGACGGACAGAGGCACATACGGAGGGATGGAAGCACAGACGGACTCATGGACGGCAGACAGACGGACATGAACGGACGGATGCACCGAAGCATATACGGACAGACAGATCGGCGGAGTCATGGACGGGCAGACGGACGGAAGCATGACCGGATGGACGATCATGCTTCCGTCCGGCACACACGGATTAGATGGATGGACGCATAGACGGCTGGACGGTTGAACGCTTCGCCTCACTCATCATCATTCACTCCGTGAATATGCTCTGAAAACCACTAACTCCATGCATCTAGCTATATTATTCCCAAGTGCATACACACATAACGCTATCTATTGAGCAACTCATAAACTAGAGGTGGCTATGTACTACTACTACGACTACAGAGGAGGGTAACGACCCACTGCCTAAGGAGCTTCGCCCCTAAAAATATTGAAAAACGGCTTTCGATGGGATGCGGGTTAAACCCACATGACCGCCCTGGGGGCTTAAGCTGCGCGTTCATTTCGTCTTCCGCGGTGTTCACTTGACTAAAACACGGCGTTTCGCATAAGATGAGTATTCACTCGGACTTGCCTGAGCTCTAGTAAAATCATTTTCGTGCGTTATGTGCCATAAGCAGGGCATCAGCTGGCGCCGCTAGATAGAACAACATAATCTATAAACAGTATGAAAAATAATTATAATTTTCTGTGAAGTTATTTGTGAAATATTCTTTCTTAAGTGTGCTGCGCAGCCTGCTACTTGATATCTCTTTTACTAAACGTGGCTGGTTTTTTTTTTCTTTTTCTCTTTGCAGTCACTAGACGGTTTTACCTTTGCGCTGGGAGCAGATGGCCGCTTTTTGTACATTTCGGAAACAGTGTCCATCTACCTTGGGCTGTCTCAGGTGAGAAAAAAACATAAATGTTCTTCATGCTGCACGTCAGCTGTGTACCGTAATGTGATATATAGACCCTTTTCGTAATTTGCAAGTGCGCTTCTCTGCGCTGCATACTTGTCCAAGTAATGACGGCACCTAGCTGCTATGCTTCAAGCGGAGACACGGTCCTAGTTGAACGGGCTGGGGCTTTCCTACTATGCGTGTTTATATCAAGAAAGCTGACTCTACATTTTCCACGTCATAGCGTAAGCGATCTGCACGTGAACAGTCTGTTTGCAGTAAGTGACTATAGCTGCCTATTACTTGTTCATATTACATAGCAAGAAAGTTAACTTTACAATGTTGAAAATGGTCCAACCTGGTATGACCGGGGCCCACGTACGATAGCCGCTATGTCTCCTGTGGCCACTCTTGTAGGTGGAGATGACGGGCAGCAGCGTGTTCGACTACGTTCACCACCAGGACCATGCCGAGCTGGCCGAGCAGCTGGGCATCAACCTGTCGCAGTCTGTGTCCTCGCCGTCGGGTGGCTCGGGTGGCTCGGACGACGGCTCGTCGACGCCAAACTCGCTGGACAGGCCAGCCCCCGTGATGACTCTCAGTAGCAGCGCAGCCTACAAGGGTCTAGAAAGGTCCTTCTGCGTACGCATGAAGTCTACTCTTACGAAGCGAGGCTGCCACTTCAAGTCGTCCGGATACGGGTCAGTCTCGCATCAAATGAGCTGTTTATTGTGTCTTAGAAACACTTAGAAAAACTCATTACCTTCTTTCTTTATATTCTTATTGAGTGCAATAAGAGAGACGGTCTATGGCTTTGCTTTTAATATTGAATCAATTGCGAGAGAGGGCGATGTTTTGCGGTAATCACATAATTCTTAGAAAGACTTCGCGTTAATGTTCTTAACATCGGTGTCCTGTGGTTCCTTGCCCTCATTGCATAATATTGAAGAATCGAAATGCAATTATAAACTAAGTTCGGTCACTTAGTCCCATACATCGATCAATCTATTGATCGAAATATCCACTCATGAATGAATTAGTCGATAAATTATGCCTCTTAGTCTTCATATCACTGTTGATTGGATATGTTTGGCTTAACGTCCGAAAACCACCATATGATTATAAAGGGTACCGGAAACTTTGACCACCTGGGGTTCTTTAACGTGCACCCAAATCTGAGCACACGGGCCTACAGCATTTTCGCCTTGATCTAAAATGCAGCCGCCGCAGCCGGCATTCGATCCCGTGACCTGCGGGTCGGCAGCCGAGTACCTTAGCCGCTATACCACCACGGCGGGGCCGTATACCACTGTGTTGGTAGCGATTACCACCGCCCACAGTTACTTCAATTACGGTCAATATAAAGTGACCTATCCCGTTGAAATGTATATACCTTAAAAACGCGCAGGTGGTTCTGGTCCTGTGCCACCTCCGGCCCCAGTACTCCTTCTCGCCCGGCCGCTCTAAGCAGCCTCCGCAGATTCTGGGCATGGTGGCGATGGCGATCGCGCTGCCGCCGCCCTCGGTCAACGAGGTGCGCCTCGAGTGCGACATGTTCGTCACGCGGCTGGGATTCGACTTCCGCATCGCTCACTGCGAGCCTCGCGTCGCCGACCTGCTCGACTACAGCCCCGAGGACCTGGCCGGACGCAACCTGTACGCCCTGGTGCACGGCCAGGACGTGCACAAGCTGAGGAAGTGTCCACGTCGGACCGTGAGTCTGTTTGCGCGTCCTAGTACGTTTTATGACACGCATCCTATGTATACGCCGCTATCGCAAGTTTCGCAAGTTATTTGTGTGTTTTCCTTTTTCCTTCATTATTCATACGATGTGTATATATATATATATATATATATATATATATATATATATATATATATATATATATATATATATATATATATATAATGTGTGTGTGTGTGTGAATCCTATGCGCATGCATATCAGTATATAACTGCGCATTGTACATTTTAATGTACTTGAAATGCCTAATATACTTCTTTCCATTTTTTGTTTTTTCTTCTTCTCTGGCTTTGTTTCACTTTTTGTTTTGTTTTTTTTGTGTTCGTTTTCCTTTTCGACCTTTTTTTTCCCCTTTTTTCCTCGTTACTTATCTTTAGCAAGTGTATATTTAGGTACGTTTGACCTTGTAGTGCACCTGCGCCCGTAGTGAATGCACTATGATATCAATTTGAAACTGTTTAGCGACTATTATTATGCATTTTTTCCCCCACATTTATTAGGTGCTGTACACTGTCGTTTCGCCACCGATGGGTGGCTGGGGCTTTGTCAAGCTGTCATTGGACAGCTTTTTTCCCGGCCACCTTTTTTCATCGTAATTGTTTTTGTTTTTGGTGAAAATAAAGTTCTTTGATTGATTGATTGATCTCTCCCGGATACGGCGTTCAACACAGATCGCCTCTCTTTCGCTGACCGGCAAGAAGTGAGTAGCGTACAACCTGAAGCTGTTTCACTCGGATATGTGGGACCTAAGAGTGATGATCATGCTGTGTAGCTGTATTGGTGCTGCATATAAATATATTGCGCGAAAGTCTAGCGCGCAAGGTGGAGGCAGCTGCCCTCCCTCCGGACAACCCTGGAGCGATATGCTCGTGTACTCAGCTGTCATTGCGTGTTGAAGGGCTATTCCTTTAAACCGCGTAGACATCATCGAGTATGGCATTTCTAAGATAGTTTGTGTTAGTGGCATCCCTTGTGTGCGCCTGGTGTGAGCTTCCGCCCGCGCGTGTCTGGTGCATCACTGCGCCTTCTTCTTATCTCCACGCAGTGATGAACAAGGGCCAAGTGATGAGCGGCTACTACCGGATCATGAACAAGAACGGCGGCTTCACCTGGATGCAGACCTGTGCCACAGTCATCTGCAACAACAAGAACTCGGAAGAGCAGAGCATCATCTGCGTAAACTACGTTCTGAGGTGCGTGCACTTTCGAAATTTTGTTGCCAACACTGTTACGTTATTACGGTATAAAGAGTGCATTCAATATGTGGGAGTGAGCCCGAAACTGCGTATGTACAGTCGGACCCGTTTGTAAGGAACCAGTCGCTCGGAGGATTGCAAGCTGAACGGTTGTGTCACCGGCTCCCAACTTTCCTATCTTCTTTTTCTGCTGCTAGCCATCTCTATCTCTTCACCTATTCTATTCTTTTTATCCCTACTCCCCACCCCCCTCCCATACAAGGCACTGCGCCATGTTGCCCAAAAGGCAGACAGAAATTAGGTGCCTTTTTTTTTTCATTTTCTCAAGAACCACTCATAACGAGCTCGGAAATGCCGCGATAAGTGGTCCTTAAATCAATAGTTCGTAGCATACTAACTCGCCCGTAAAAACTCCCATTTAATGGTCAAACCATTGTTTTCCTGTGTATTTTTATTTAAAAAGTACAAATCCCTCCGCTGACAAGTGAAGCTTTTTCGCGTGTTAAACAACGTCCGTTTGATCGCGAGTGAATTCAACCACGTTCGCAATGAACTGACGCCGTTCAACTGAAGCGCGGTACCACCACATCGGACCAATCATTCCTAGCTATATAGTTGCGTGTCGCTTACTCGGTCCTCGCTGTTGCTTGCCGGGTTATTTGCGGTCCAATGCATGCGCGTGTTCATGCGTTCTTCGTGGCATGCTTCACTCTAGATCGTGCTTGGGTGCGCGAGTAGCTTTTTGGTCCTTCAGATTGAAGACAAATTTCGTAAGCCTCCACGACGCGGCGGTGAACTTGTGAACGGCGGCATGACGCGCTTGTACCGCCATCCCTCTTCCCCGTTTTCTGGTGTTTCTTCGTTAAGACACCGCCGCGACCACGCGTAAGTCGTTATCACTAATCGACCGGTCTCCGCCGTTATCGAAATGCTGAAAACCTCTTGTGGCACCTCCTGGTGTCGGTGGACTGAGCGTCGCAGTGAGCATTTATGCGCTAAAAAAGAAATGTTATCGCTTCTCGAGTTGCTTCTTCCGGTCGAAGGCGTTGTTGGTTGATCGTTGGCTGCGGTCGTAGACGCTGAGGAATTGCGTCAGAAAGCTGACTGAAGTCTTCATGCTGCCTCCTATTTGTTATTTTTTGTTTCTCGCTTCCCTTCTACCAGTGAAGAAATGCACGGAAAATGAGTGACCTTGCTCGTAGCGTCCGGAGCCTGCGTGCGGTGCTCGACGCGGTCTACGGTCGCTAGTAAAAGTGCAGCGCGGCACGCGCGAGCATGCGCCTATCACATGTTTTGCAGTGTTCATTTTTTTCCCTCTTTGTATGTGCCATATTTTTGCCACGACCGTGTCGGAAGTGTTCGTTGTAAGAGTAGCAGGCTTTGAAAAACGTTCGCTGTATGTGGACTCATTTTCAAAGGGTTTCGTAGGAAAATCGCAAGTGCAGCCGAAATATTGTCGTTATAACAGATATATTTTTATACCTGGAATCGTTAAAATTGTGTTCGACTGTAATTAGGTTTTCCATCCGAGCAGAGCGTTAATGCAATCCCTTTCTGCTCGTTCGTCTCAATCCTTCCGAACACTATTTCAAGGAGGGACTGCTTATAACGTCTCGTATTCGAATTCGATTTGAGCGAAAAAACCGTCGTGGGTGGTGCGAGCGAAATCGTAGCAAAATAAAGAAAACAAAGATTACTGCGTGTGTTGTGCGTTCACTTTGTCATCGTTTGCGTCTCGTGACTAAAACTTGAAGCGCAAGTATCACGTGACCATGCTAGCTGCGCGTTCACTTCGTCATCAAGGCGTTGGCGTGACTAAAAAGTATAGCATATTGCGCAACTGCGCTAGCGGCGTGATCGCTTCAAGATTGCGGCGTTCATGCGACTAAAACAATTGTAAAAAGTGGCATTGAGTGGCCCAAAGAGTGCGAGCTGCGCTTTCACTTCTTCTTTGTGGCATTTGAGTTATTGAAATGTATGCATAAATGTGGCGTTCGCTTGTTATAACATGTACAATAAGATAGCCTCGGGGTATGGCTGTCGCATGAGGCGAATACATCCTAGGTTAGTTCTTGTTTAATTTTTTCAATCTCGCTTCGATTCACCTTGTCTGCGCAGTGGCGTGGAGTACGAACACTGCGTGATGGACTGCAGCCAGATGCGCGGTTTGGGTGACATCAAGCCCGACGATCCGAGCAACTCCGAGAGGGGATCCACGCCGGAAAACGAGCCACGAGGTGAGATCGCACGCACGCGTGGTCTCTTCATTCCCAGGGTTCATACACCTTGTGAAAAAAAAGAAGAAGAAGAAAAGTTACCGGCAGTGTCTACAGAACTGCGGCGAATAAAGATTTCGGCACCAGATCGCGTGCCACGTCTTTGTGATACTCTATTGGTGACCCGAAGGTCGCAGGGTTGAATCCCGGCCGCTACCTTTCAAGAGAGGTGAAATGCAAGAGGTCCGTGTTATTTAGTTCCAATGTTGTCAAAATTTACGGAGCGCTTCATTATTCATATTGCGGTATTTAGGACTAAAACCGCAACAATTGTATTATGCTTACGAGGCTGCTAACTTGTGACTAAGGACTCCTGTGACTAAGAACTACATCGCTTTCTAAAAATAAGAAAAAAAAGCTCTGTAGAAAGCTTTTATTGCGATATCAATTATATGGGCACTCTCCGCTGGATTTGAAAACGCAAGAAAGAAAAATAATCCAGGAAAAGATTCCAGCGCGCCGAATTGCACGTCGGACCTCTGAATTGTGCGTGCGAGGCGTTAGCCACTGAGCCACGAAAAAGCACCTCCCCTAACGTTCAAATAGCAAGCTATTTATATGTACCACTTACCGCCGGTGATGGGCATCTTAAGGGTGGGGGGTGGAGGAGGGGAGACTATTGTGTTTTCAGCATTACCAGCAAGATGGCGCCATGAGCACGCGTCGCCACATCGTCACGACGCGTCGGCGCGCGCTCTCATCTCCTACGCGCGCGTACTTTGCCCCGCTGAGAGGGGGCTGGGTGGATGCTCACGCGTGCGCTTATCTCGTGGTGCAAACAATCGTACGTCTTGGCTGGCCTTGGGCTTTCACCGAAACGATTTTATTGTTGTTACCGGGTGCACAGAGGTCGCTGCAATTGTTGCACTATCTCCGTTTGCGAAAAGGGCGCGCTTTTCATACACAGCGAAGTAACAACTGAGACGCTTATTCGCGTTCATTTGTACCTGAGAGTATGTTTCGTGCGTCATTTGTGCGTGAGAAACGCGGGGCATCTTTCGATCTGTCTCCTTTTGCGCGTGACCTTCCAATTAGTTGCTATCGCGTTCATTGTTTCGCCTTTGCTTCGCCTTTGCGGCAAAGCTGTGACTTTTGTCTTAACTTTGTCGCGTCAAAAGCCCCAATCTAATAGAACACTCATATATATCTGGGACACCTCACCGATGTAAAGGCACGAAATACAAATGATAGGGCAAGGATCTTGGTCAGGACTACCTCTTGTATAATCAACATGTCATTCTGCTTAGTAAAGTGAAATTACAGTTTGCGATCTTCTGTCATCAACATCCGAAATGCGTGCTGTGTGTAGTTAACGGATGCCTGCCTCTCCCGTTCAGATGAGCGGTCGCCCGGCCGCGCCACCGAGCCTTCACCCAAGGGCCACGAGGCGCCGCCATCGTCGACCCCCGCTCTGGGAGGGAGTCAGGATGTTCCCTCTGAGCAGCAGCAGCACCTAACGCAGCTGGGCACTGTGGGGAAGCTTGACTCGCTCAGGAATGCCAAGGTATGGCTTTTTCTTTTTCACTTCAATCTCCTCCACGTGATATATTGTTTTGTTATTAGTCGCTGATACCTTGCAGACAAAGAGGGCCAGTTGTTCCCTGGTTTGCCATGTTTATCATTGTGGTTTGATCACTGTGCTCGAGGAAACAGTGTAAATACGTGCACCCATCTTTCGATGCCATCAGTTTGTCATCTCAGAAGGCATGAATAGAACAGCACGCTTATGCAAACTCATTATTACCTTATTGTCGTATGGATGATCTTGTTTTAAAGATTTTTTTCTAAACTGGTACTCTTCATGTTAGACTAGCCGACTGTTTCATTCGGCCCGTACAACATGTGAAGGATCCTATATTCACCGTCTCGTTGCTCCTGCTGGCTGTATGCAGATTCGAGGCACAAGGCGGTCCGATTCGAACTACGTTCAAATGGCCTGCCACACGTACGTGGATGCCTACCAGGTCAGGTGGTGCTGCTGAATGCACTTTCGCATTAGCCACCTTTCACGCGTGTCCCCCCTACTCTTCACTCAGCACGTCACCCAGCACACCCTCGCACCCACGTTTTGTTGCCTCGTGGAACAGCACACCTCACTGAACTCACACTATCCCTCACAAGAACTTGTTCAACAGCTGGTTTCGATTTCAGAGAGACATACCAGCACGAATTTCGGCAATTAGTGTAGTAAGATGTGGCATATTTCACGCTGTGGGCCAGCTTACTTTATTAGAACAGTGAGAGAGCTTTACTATCATTCTACTAAAGCCTTGTACGACCATGGCGTACGACTCACACAAGAAAATGGGAGGCTGTATGATTCCTTACGATGCCACGAGGTAGTGTAGCATTTTGACCCTTCTTGTGGATGCACGAAGAACGGATACAATTAGCTACTTGTACTTTTTGTAGCTTTAACTAAGAGTTCTGCACTACTTGTGCATGTTCAAAGCATTGCGCGATGCCGTCTAGTAAACACCTCACAGAGACCATTTAGTAGATGTAGTGCAGCATGTATATAATACATCTCTTTCGTTCACTATCTAAATAACATAATCTCTAGAAAAATCAAATTTGTAGGCATCTTGCAGACGTAGCATAGTAGTAATCTTACAAATGTAACCTTGCCAGCACTGTAACATGTCTTTGCACCACCAAAGTGCTGCTGATTGTTTAGTCAATCTACGCTGTAAATCAAGTTTCATCCTGGTCAGACAGTTATGTTGAGGTAAAAGGCATTCAACTGGGAAGAAAGGTGCAAGCAGTGCACTTGCTGCTTCTCGATTATTTCTCCATGAAAAAGTGATAAACTATTGCAAATCAAAACATTTATTATCAAAGGGCTATTCGTCTGTAAAATCCCTAGAATTACGCTCACATTTTTGCGAGCGTAGTGAAAAGCAAGTATGAAGGACGTGTTAATTTATGAAAAATAAGCGTGATGTTGGCATTCTTAAAAACCTTCACATGCTAGCTCTCGGGCATGGGTGTGTGAATGCTTTTTACTTCATGTCTTCATGAAAACTACTTGGGCCATACAAGGCTAAGGACTTAGACACGAAATTTCACCATTTCTGTCTCTTCTATACATAGTTTGCAAACTTTAGTATGTACTTGATGCAAGAATAATGGTATGCATCACATCGAAATAATCTATATTGAAGTGGCAAATGCATTTTCATAGTAGTGTTTGCTAAAACTGAAAACTATTTATGTCCTTTTAACATGAAAGTGTTTTATGAGAGGATCCACCACGGCTCCGTTCACGTATTTCTGTCACAGATATGATGTAAAATGTGTACTAACAGATTTCAAAGGAAGAACAAGAAGAAAAAAAAATCATAGCATATATCCCCGGAGTGAATGATGATGAGTGGGGTGAAGCTTCGGAGGGTTTTATCAGTAAACTGCGAATTGACCGTCCGTCCGTCCGTCTGTCTGCATGTCCGTCCGTCCTTCTGTCCCTTCGTCCGCACTTGCTGAGTGATTCATGGAACTAGGTGATCGTTTACGAGCTAAAAGGGAGAGACCCAGGGCTTTAGGAGCTTCGCCCCTAAGGTCCCTTGTGCCGGGCGTCGAACATATGACCTCTCGCTCCGCAGCGCTTCTCGCGAAACCGCTAAGTCACAGAGCGTGCGTTGTCCGGCTTGCTAATGGCGAGTGATTTATATAAACCATATAACGTTGGCAGCTCACCTCAGCAACTTCAGCGCGATTTCGTCATAAGTATCAAGGTGATGCGAAGGGCGCGCTCTAAAGGTCCTCGTCTCGCGCGTTGCGATGCGCGCGCGCCTTCATCAGGCGTGGTCGCTGGTTCGCGCACGCTTATATCCTGATTCAGGCGCTTTGTGCTTATACAGCAAGTTTGCTTTGAGGTCGGGGTGGTTAAAAAGAGCACGAAGGTCACTGCGCTCGCTGCCACAGCCGCGTCAATGAAAGGAGCGTGCTTATACTCTCACACGAAACAGCGAGAATTGTGACAGTTTTTCGCGCTCGTCTTGTGTAGACTTGTGCATTCGTTTCGTGAGCATTTCTTTCTGTTTGGGCAGCTGTGACAGTTGTTATCCCCCACTCGTCCTGTGTATGCTCATTTCGTGTGTGCTTTCTGCTTCAGGTGCGCGCTGAAAGTTTCGATCTGCTTGTTGTTCTTCGCGTGGCATTACAATTCGTTGCTATATTAGTTATTCCTTCACCCTTGGGGCGAAACAATGCATAAAAACGCTCAAATAATTTTGTTAGGACACATTTCCTTTTTGAATCATATCGATTCCTGGACAGAGGGATCAGCTACGTTTCTTTAGAAGCAATGTTTTTTCAGAAGCAACGTTCTTTGAGAAGCAATTTTTCTTGCCATTATGTGCAGATAAATGACCCTTTGTTAACACCGCGCTGTGCAATTCAGGCACTGATAATGTAGGCATGATGCTTGGCTTCCTTAGCATTTTCATTTTGGTCAAGGTGGATGACTGATACTATTTTTTGTTTTGATAAGCGCTTAGCCTTATTTTTTGTCAAATTATTTGCCTGGATGCGAAAACCCGCTGCCACTATCTATGACGTCACTACAATATGGGATCTAAGAATGCGCCATCCTTATGCCAAACAGTACAGTGTCTGCATGGTCGCATTATCAACGTTTTGCTGTCAATATATAAGACAGCTAAGACCAGGCACCCAGGGGTGGAAGTGCTGCGCCAAGCTGCGCCTAAACGCCGATTCACGTGTGCAACGCCAAATTTAGCCGAGTTTTATCATCGACCGAGCAACACGCGGGGGCTACACAAAAGACGCAACCGCGTTCATGTCAAATTAGCTCGGTGACGTCAAATTTCGGTTCATGCATCAATGCATGTTAAGCTGGCGGTCGTGTGCATACCTCATTGTGCGACTCTATATATGTTTTAACAGCAAGGCTGTTGGCCGAATCATATACTGAAAAACAGAAAAATCAGTTTCGCCGGCGTAGCGATGGCTGCAATAGGAAGAATTTGTAATGTTGATGTGGCAATGCTTTTCTTTCTATAACGCGTGTAACGCTCTTTTGCGCAAACCGAGCCCGAAGGACTGGTAACAATCCAGATAATCTTAAAACCTTCCGATGAGATTACGCGCACAATGCATATACATAAGAGTTTGTTCTGGGAGTTACGCTGCCGCTATAGCGATAACGCTGGAATCTTCGATGGTACATGTATAAAAATGCTGACGCACTTTGCTGGCTGGCAGATTATCAACGGCCGACGCTCTCGCTTGCTGCTATCAGTCTACAGCGAGTATTGCTTGTAGAATGGCGTTTCGTTTGCCGGGTGCAGGTTGGCCCAAATAAAAACGTTCACTCATGAAAACAGCAGCTGCTGCCTTCGTCAGCATCATGACATCGTGACAATAAGAAGGCTGGAAGCTAGCTCTTCTGGGTCCGACGTCGCGACACTCTACGAAGCGGTTGAGTAAGATAATAAGTACGGCCGCTCCAGGGAGAAATGCTCGTTTGTCACAATCTCTTCTCGTTGAGAGCGCACCACGTAGAACGGTTTACGAGTCGCGTGCGCCAGCTTATCGCAACCACACCCTTAGAATCAAAGTTCACCGCTGCTGCTTGAGCGACCCCTCTTTACCCGGTGTCTTTTTTTGTTTCGTGCTCCTTCAAGACGGGCGGCGTGTCTCATCTTTCCTTGAGCATTTGACGTCCGGTCTAACACGGGTTGGGATTCTCTCGTGTGCACCCTCCGAGCGACGGAGATCGTCCACCTCGTCTAATCTCTGCTTGAGCAGCGCTCACCACTCCAACTTGCGCTATTTTACGCGCGGGTAGAGCGTACGAGGTGCCAGAAATGTTACCAACTTGTAGTTTACGGGAACGTGTTGGCGCCGGTGCAAAGCCCGTTGAGTGTCCTTATAGTAGTTCATAGCGTAAAAAAAAATAAAAATCACTTAATAGTCAAGCAGTAGTGCGGTGAGCCTATCTAAATTTCTTCGCGGTTCTCATGTCGGCTGTGACACTTCAATTCATGACCCGAACATAATTTTGCATTTATTTTTATAGAGCACTATATCTTTAGTATGAATTTAACATTTATTATATTAGTTCATCTATTAAGTTATTAGGTTGTTCATGTTGGATGCGATCTTTAACCACATTTTGAACATTGCAACATTTTAACATTAATTTTTTTCCATTCGGCTGAGATCTAGTAGCTGTACAGAGCACCGCTTATGTTTTTTTTTTTTTATTTAGTGTGCTTTCAGCTTTGATGTCGTAAGGTTTAATGTATATATTGAAGTAAGTCTGGTCACTTCATAAGCATGGAAGGCTTAGTAAAAAACCACTCGGGTCATACAGCGATGTATGACCTGGAATTTCGGTGCTCCAGAGCTGCTCCAAAACCCTATTATTCCTGCTCCCAAAGCTGCTCCAAAAGACTGAAGCCCGCTTCTACCTCTGGCACCTTACCTTCACTATCTTCTCGAAAACATTGCACTTGAAGAATGCCTTTGGATGCTACGACAAAGACAGTGCGTCATGACCAGGTGTACCTCGTTCTTTGCTTTAATCTGGTCAGCATGCGAGTAGAATTTCTTTATTTTTTTGCAGTGTGCTGACCTTACGACGCACTGCTCGTGTGAACCCTGAATAAAAGATTCATTAGAAGAAACCTTGTCTTGAAGAAGGTTTTCAGAGAACCCTTAGCTTTCCGGCTTTATTTATCTCGATGAAATGGCCGCCACCTCTGCTTTCTGCCACAACACGGCATTTCGGGTGTCATAATGGCGTCCTTTGTGTTCTTGCAGGATGGAGCCGAACATGCGTCAGCTAGTCCAGCGCGCTACGAGGCGGCAGCCGCACCGGCCAGCAGCGCCAAGACTTCCCGCAAGAGGAGCTCGGACGAGAGCGGCAGCCGTGCTAGCCCCAAGTGCTCGCGACCGGGCAGCCGCGCGTCGAGCCTGCAGCCGCCAAGCCCGGCCCGGAGCCTCCCGCCGCCGGACGGCTACGGACGGGCCTCCGAGCCGCCGCTGGTGGTCGTCGACGACCCGGTCCGCCGTCTCCTCCCAAGGTCCGGCGTCGGGCAACGGCGACGACTCCTGCGACGGTCCCGACGGCCTGTCGCGGCCTTGGAAGGCGGGGGGAGGAAGCGGCCAGGTTTCCACCGGCGAAGGGCTGACCGTGCGCGAACTCGAGGACGCCATGAAGAAGCACCTGCCCGAGGTTCGATCGGCTCGCTCGGCGGCCATCCAGTGGATCGGGGCGCCCCACCAGTCCGGTACCGGGGCGTCGGCACACGCCGCCGGCGGGCCCCTGCCTGCGTCGACGCTGCTACGGCAGCTGTACGTCAACCGCGAGTCGGTGATACGGTCCGGGTCGCACGTGTCCGCCGCCTCCTCGCGGCCGACGTACTACGGAGACGTGCCGACGCCCCCCGAGGGACCGTGGACGACGCCCGACGCGTTTGTCCTGCCCCCGTACGCCGGCTACGTCGAGCCGCCACCCCCGTTCTCGGCCGTCACGCCACCGTCGTCCGTGTCGCCGCGCGACAACAAGCTAGGCCTAACCGAGAGTCCGGCCTTCTCCGAAGCGGCGGCCGTGGCCGCGGCGGCGGCGATGCCGCACATGCGCCACTACGTGTCTGCGGCCGAGTTGCCCCTCAAGCCGCAGGTGCTCGTCCATCCCGGAAGCCTGGACTACGCGACGCCGCAGGAGCAGCAGCTCTACGCGGGCGGTTTTCACCTGTACGGAAAGCCCAATGGTGCCTGGTACTCGCAGCAGCCGAACACGTAGCGCCACCCGTGGCTTTCGTCGCCCGCTTGCTCTCCGGCTGTGTGTAAATGTGAGACTCTCGACAAGACTATTGCGGTGCCCTCTGCGAACACTTTGGACACATCCACGGGCGTACGATGATTCGCGTCGGCGGAGGGTCGCCCTGCTTCGCGCGAGTACGACCCGGCAACTTCTCTACGTGAGCGCGATAGTCCGCGTTCGCGATCATGAAAATGAAACACACAAAAATATTGTCAAAATATCCCAGTGACGCGGCTTTCTTGCTCAGATTTTTTTTTTTTCATAGTGAGCTCCGCGCTGTAGTATTTGTTGTTACCGTTGGTCTCAACTCCCGTTTGCTCCCCTCCCTTTTAAAACACTCTTCGTTAACTCCCAACAGAGTGGTGATTCTCAACCCACATCCCTTGAAATGCCTTCGGTGTACATACATGTATGTGTTCTCCTCTCACAGAAACCCGAATACCTTAGTCGGAGTGGATGCCACAACCACATTCCACGTTTACGAAGACATTCCTTCCCCTTTTTCTTTTCATTTTGGTATGTGCGTTCTTTTTATTGTCAACGACTTTTGCGAGTGTGCCTGGTTGCGTGACTGTGTACATTCCTGCTTGTGTACGTCACCTTTTTTTATCGTTGTTTTCTTATTATTTTTTTGCTCAGTGTCTTAAAAGGGCCCTGCAGAACCTCTTCACGAAGCTCTTTTTTTTTAATTGTGTGGACATATTAGTCATAACTCGCATTGGTTCATCATTGAGTTCGTAAGCCGGCTCTACGAAGTTTTCTCGAATACCATTAGAGAATGAGATCATTAGTGCATAAGCAAAGCAAAAATACCCTACCATTTTATTGCTTGGTAGTCCTTAGATGTGTCTGGCATACCTAATTAGTGAAATCGTTTTCAATAATTAGACGAGGCTTTTCAACTAGCTCTAAAGAAGGTTGAGTGCAGACCGCTCTAGTGCAAGCCTGCGGTGATGTAAGAAACATTTGCCAGCACGTTGTGGACTGGCCACTGCATGCTTCTGTGTCAAGTGAATGGCCGAGCAAGACATTTACAGAAAGTCCAATTGCTGATAACTGATGCACAAAGCCATTGAATTGCATCCATTGCGTAGCTCATCTTATTTCGGTCTTGACTAACCTGAAAGAAAGGAGGAGGGGGCTGGTTGAGGGGGATAGTTGCCCTCCCTCCCCCTACTAGTTTAGAGCTCTGTGCACATCAGTGTGCACGGGAACATGGAAACAGTTTCTCCAGTGAAAGAAGGTTCGTGCAGGACCCAGTTAAGACGTGCGTGTGGCTTTATTATGTTGTGTACCGGTGCATCCCTCCATGGCTTGATTCCCTCGCTGGTGCTCTGCACCTCCTTACCCTCTTTATTCTCCTCCTCTCCCCGAAGAGGATGTGTGCGGAGCAGGCATGCGTGGGGGACAGCCGTGTTGGCGAATTGTGATACAAAATTTATATAGATATAAGATATCTATATATTATATATACACTTAATATAGCATAGGAAATACCTTTATAGAAGACCAGTCAGCCTCCATGGGGCGGCTGTGTGTTTTCTCCTCCTCTTAATTTCCTCCTCTCCCATTTTTGTTACCCACCGCTGCTGTCACAATCTTGTGCTCAGAGGGGACACCGACTCGATGGCGGGCACTGAATGGTTTTTTACTTCTGTAGGGGCTCTTTAAACAATATTTCTCAAATGGAATGTTTGTATAAACATATCTAGCTTATCCAATTGAACAAGACATATTTTAATGCCTCTACAAGTACAAGAAATGAATTCCCAGACTAAAGATGGCTCAAATATTTAATTTCTACTGATTCGATCCTTTGTGTTCGGATGTTCCCACTACTAGGCAGCTTGTAAATGTGTGAAGACAAAAGAAAGAGGAAATACTCACTCCAACTTCATAATGTGTTCACGGCGTGTGTAATGCAGAGTCTAAATTTTAGACAATTTTTATACAAATGTAGCAATCTTATCTGTTCCGCACTCGATTGCAGTACTTCAAGTGAATTTTTTTCGGTCTATTTTGCATGCTGCAAGTTGTCCAAACGAAAATATTTGAAAAGAATAATTATCAGTGTTTTCATCACTTAAAAGTCAGTAACACCTTTTTCTTTTTATTTGACTCGTATCAGATTATTGAAGCACACTATCTATTAGATATCAACTTTCTGAGGCATGGTACTTTCATGTTTCATGTCGCACATTCGATTATTTAGTATTACTGATAATTTGTAATGTTCGAAGAAAGTCCGCACCGTATTCTCCAATAAAGAAATTGGATTCAGAAAAATGTGCAAATCAAATATTTTAATATTGAATTATTGAGCACCATACATTTTCGTTCTTTTCTTGGAATATTAAAATGTGCTCGCCATCGTCGCTTTCAACTCTGAACAGGGACAGTCACAATATGAAGGCTTGTGGATGCCATTCCCAAGGTCTACAGTTTACTTTGCCAGTACACTTATTTTCTCTTTCTATTTTTGTTTTCTTTATTTCTCAACAAAAAAAATGAACTCCAGATGCAGCCGGCCGAGTCGGCTACGTTTCCACTGCGGTCGTGACTGGCGTCTTGAACTTGGGTGTAAGAGGTGCTAGATCTATGACGAGTACTAGTTCTAGCACGCTAGATGGTGATTTATAACAGTAAAGCTTTTTCGGAAATCGTCGTTGCTAACTGTACTCGCGTCCTTGTCATTGAAAGTGCTATACAGGTCGCAGAATGGTGTACAGATCCTCTTCCCTGTCACCGCAGAGATTTTAAAAAATGGCGACCTGGAGAATATGTCTCGCAAGTGAAGCCAGACCTTTGCCATCTAACCTTGGGCACATTGAAACGTTAGCTTAGAGGGAAAAAAACGTAATGATTACGTCACACGCTCTATGTGTTTTGAACTGCTCATTGTCTTGGACAGATATAAATCAATGTGTTTTAGTATCATTGATTACATTGAGAAGTCTCAAAGTCATGGCTAATTGTATTGAAAATCACGCTATCAACATTGGTCTATATACGTTACTTTAGTCGGCAAGACCGATCTGTTATTCTATATATAGCCTATTACGTGCGTTGGAACAAAATCACTTTATTTCTGATCTGTTGTCATATGTAGGCTATGGGCAAATGTAGTGTTCACATGTGATGTTAAGGAGTTGCGAGGACTTTCACTTCGGCATTCTTTCTTGAATGGTTCCTTCTGTGCGCTGTTCTTTAATCAACTGTTCACTAGACTATCTGCTTAGAAAGCTGCGTGCGCCATTTTAGGTCAAATGACAAATGTTTTTTTAAACGCCACTCACGACCGCAGTTTGGTCGACACTTCTCGCTGAGTCACTTGCGCGACATGACATGGGAACGACTCGTTTTTCATTCAGCTATGCAGCAGAACGTTCTCGGTGTGTCTAGATTCTCTCTACACTTTCCATGATCGCAGGAACATCGAACTTTCACTCATTGTCCCTAGGACACACCTGCGGACGCGAAATCAAAATTCAAGATGCACTTTTTAGTATTGACCGATGTTGTAAAAACAGATCGAAGCGACAAGCAAATAAAAACGTCACTAAAACCTGTAGCTTCTTGTGTCATTTTCTTTCCACCAAGATGCTTGGCAAATCATTTTTACGGAAATTGTGTAAACTAAGGAAGATTACGTACGCGATCCCTTAGAGCTGCTGCAGAAGGCTTCTGAGATTATGTATGCTGGGCAACATCAGAAATGTTAGAGGGCAACTGGTGATGGACAATAGTATGAAGTTGGGCGTGTTGGTAGCATGGCGTTCATCTTCGTCCCTTCGTTTGTCCTGTGTCAAGTTCTTGCGCTATGTGATCAGTTATGCAACCAGTATACATACATACGTTATGCAGAACCAGCGACTGTAGCAGATGAGATGGAATTCATTGTCTTTAGAACCCATAGAGTCCCTCGTGCGTTGGTTGAAGACGACTGCAAGGCGTGGCTGTCGCATCGTGCATCTTATGTAATGTGAACGCTGCTTTTTAGGTGCCAAGCACCTTCGGCTCTCGGTCTGTCGGCTTATCATGTCATAACGGTGGGAAATGCAGTCACGGTCTGTGATAAATGAGCATGCGCCGCAAATATATATATATATATATATATATATATATATATTATATATATATATATATATATATATATATATATATATATATATATATATATATATATATCGCTACAATTCGAGTTCTCAGGTGTATTAGCCACCGGTTTACTAAAGATGGACAAGGCAACAGTTAGTGCAACGAATAGTCGACGACGTTAGTGGGGCTGAAACGCCCTTCCCCGTAGGGAACCAAAACCGGGCATCTGGGAAGAAGTGCCTTAGGGTAATGTGCATTCGGGCGCACTTTCCCTACAACGTTAGTGGAGTGAAACCACCCTTCCTGACCTGCCCTCTTTTCAAGGCTTGGCACAACTAATGTCTCATCAGAGAAATCTCTCTGAAAGCGCTGCATGTTGCACTCCTCCTCAGCTATTCTTTTAACACGAAAGTGTTTTATGCCGAGCTCCACCATGGCTCCGCCGACGTATTTCCGCCATGGATATGACGTTGTAAAATATATACCAACACACTGCTAAGAGAAAAACGATAACAAAAGGCTCCGCGTCGAACCAGCGACCTCCCGAAGCACAGCGTGCGGCGCTAACCACTAACCGACAACATCTACGTTGTCAAAAGTGCTAGCTGGCAAGTGATTTATACACACCATATAGAATTTGGCAGTGCTCAGAGCTCCGCAACTTCAGCGCGTTTTCACAATCAGTAGCGAGATGGCAGTGAGGAGCGCGCGTTGGACCCTCGCTCTAAAGGTCGTCACTTCTGCCCTGTAGGGTAAGCATATACAGTGACTCTATTCTCGCGTTTCGGAGAGCGTCGCGTCCATGCAGCGTGATCTTCTGCGAGTGCGCTTATCAGACTCGTGATTCGGGAGAGCAGAAGGGTCACTTCGCCCGCTGCCGCGGCAGCGTTTACGAAAGGATCACGCTGCTGACAGACCGAAAAGTAAGAATTGTGACAGTTGTGCGCGCTTGTCCTTTGTATACCTGTACGTTTGTTTCATGCGTCTTGTGGCGAAAGAATGCACAATAAATGTTCAGCTGCTTCACTGAAGGCACGTATCACTTTCGTGTTATACCGATTCCTAAAGAAGAGGGATCAGCCACATTGTTTTCCCCTCTAGTCGCGCGAACATCGCAATGGTGAAGTGAACGGGCACATTGCGCGCTTCGTGCCATAATGTGCGTTAGTTGTCATGTGACTTTTTGTACTCCGTATCAACTCACGGTCACGTGACGCAAAATGGCTCTCGGTGTCTTCCACTGACGAGATATTTGAACAAAGTCATCATAAAGATCGTTGCCTTTTGCATCGGCAGTAAAATGCACCCATAGAGTTTCATATGTTTCACCACTTCGGCCTGTCTCTCAACTGTCTACCCAGCACCTCCAACACTTGAAATACCACGAGTCAGCTGACGCTTTATTCAAGCAACAGCAAGATGGCGCCGATGACGAAGATGCACGACCTGAAGACTGATGATGGTTATTTACAGATGAGGAAGATGAAGTCCAATGAATTTTTACAATATATTCACTTTGTACCCACAGTAAAGTTTATCAAAAGTTACAGAATCTTCAGAGGCCAAAAAATCATTAGGTTTCCGAAAGCTTTAGGCTCTCTTTAACGAAAACGCATCCGCTGCTAAATTTATCAAAATTGGAAGAAATTTGTTAAGACCTCACAACATCAATAAGCCTCATCACACTTAATAATAATAATAACAATAATAATAATAAATAATAATAATAATAATAATAATAATAGCGTAAGTGACTAAAAAAAGTGGTTACAAGTCAGCACGTTACACCGCAAATGTAGTCGAAAGACGATAGTCTTGCGTCTGGAGAGAGTGAACAAAACGTTTATTTGATGTTCTGCGCAAGAAAATCGGTGAATGGAATTCTGGAGGCGCTGCGTTAGAGTGCCTCGAGCGTGTAGCGGAGACGAACGAGCGCATCGAGGCACGTTAGACACAAGCGCCATCTGGCAGTTATCTTCGAAAACGAAGGCATGCAGCCCGCGGAGAAAGATGCGCGCCAGTCTCGGAGGTGATAAGGTGTAGAACGCAAAGAGACGGGCAAATGCCACCACCGTGACGTCGTAGCAAAGCGTTGGAAACACCTTTTTGAGCATCGCGTTGGACTGTCCGCGCAGCGCGATAAATGCTACATTTCTTAGAGTTACTTGTGTGTGCCTCTTTCAATATAAAGGCAGACATTCAAAATTTCGAAGTGTTGTTATGGCGCCTCAGATATGCGCAATAATTGTTTTTAATTGACAATCGCCAGCTATTAACGTTAAACCTTGAGCAATATTGGTGAGCGCTGCGAATGGGGTTGGCCGTTTGGTGCCGTTTGAGGTATCGTTATGGTGGACAAACAGACAAACGTACAGACAGACAGGCAGACCAAAATTTTTTTCGTCGAAAGGCCCCAAGAAAGACTATCTGGCTGTTATTTTGGAAAATGAAGCGCGCGCGCCCTGCGCGGCCGCCTCGGGGGTGATAAGGTATGGAACGCAAGGCGACTGGTAGGTGCGGCCACTGTGTCGTCTTAGCAAAGCGTTGGAAACACTTGCCTTTTCGTGGAAGCGTTGCCTGGTCAGCGCAACGTGATAAACGCTACGGTCCTTATAATTACTTATGTATGCCTTTTCTAGTAAGAGATACACATACAGAGTATTGACGTGTTGTTATGGTGCATCAGATATGCGCAATAATTGATTTTTATACGACAATCGCACGTGTATGAACGCTGAATCTTGAGCAATATAGGTGGGCGCTGCGGATGGGGTTGGCCGTTTGGAGTATTGTTTGGCCACATTGGTGCCGCTTAGGGCACCGTTGAGGGCGTACACGCAGACAAATGTACAGACAGGCACACCAAAATTTTTGCGTCGAAGGGCCCCAAGAAATACTATCGTCTTTAATACGCGCACACTTTATAGCGGGAAGCACGCCGCAACGGCGTCCCGCCCGTCGGCGTGATCTCGCGGCCAGCAGCAGTGCGCTGTTCAGGAAAGTGCGCCAGCTCGCGCGATTCTCGAGGCGCGCGCATCGCTTGCACCCGCCGGCTCGCGGCTGCATTGTCGCCGACAGATAGAGAGAGGTGGCGCGGGTGAGATGATGCCCACGTGAGGAGTGGGCTTGGTGGTAGTGGTTAGAAGATAAGAAAAGGTACCTAATTTCTGCAACCCGGTCGGGAGCACGGCGCAGTGCCTAGGAGTGGCTTGAGCGTTGCGAGCGGCATATAGAGGGTGAAGAGGGAGAGAGCTGACACGTGGCGAGCGCGCAGCACCACGCACTGCTAGGAGGGCATGAGCTACTTGGCACCGCTCCAACACCTGCGGCGAAGGGAGCGGTGCGTACGGAGGGACAGCGTTACACAGGCTTGTGAAAAAGCTGCTTCGCATATAAAATAAATAAAGTAAACGAATTCTAGTCCAGGGCCAGAGCAAGCTACACCGTAGCCTCCTATATTTTTTTTTGTATGGCTAAGCATGAACATTGGAGTACCTGTTGTTGAGATGAAGCTCTGTTTGTGAACATCTCACGATTATGCTGACCCTGGTTGCTGCTCGCGTTTGCTGCTAACCATATTGGTCACCCTTAAAGGGCCGCATGCCCTCTGGGCTCGACCGAAGAGAAGCCACCTTTCTTCATCGCTTACGGCTAGGGGTGGCATTTACAAAATATTATTCATTTGTCATAGGAATGGCCGACAACGCTCTCAGCAATGCCTGTCGTTGCGAAGAGACGCTAACCACATCCTGCGCGACTGTCCGTTGTATGACATCCAGAGACAGTCACTAGCATCCGTTCTTTCGCGCATCGACAACAGCCAAATGTCTGTGGACGCTATTCTTTCAAGTGCCAGAGAGAAGACATTGCAACAGAAGGCGACGAAAGCTCTGTTGAAATTCCTAGGCGACACGTACTTGAACAAGCGGCTGTAACAGCAATGTCACACACCACGAAAGACAAGACTTGACAATGACTGAGTGTGCGCGCGTGTGCTCCCTAATAGGCTGTGTTTATCTCTCTTCCCTCTCTCCTCTCTTTCATCTCCCCCTCCCATGTGCAAGGTAGCAAACCGGCTGCCTATAGGCTGGTTAACCTCCCTGCCGTTCTTTTCCTGCTATTTTCCTTCCTTCCTTAAAGGGCCCCTAAACCCCTGCGGTATTTTTCAGACATTTCAAGTAAACGCGCGCATCGTGTGCAGAGTTCCGTCGCGATCAACAATGCCGCACGTGGCAGCGCTATAAGCCGGAGACGCGCCACAAACTAAAGAAACAATCCTTCCTCGCCGGCACATTCCGGCCTCCCGACGTGAGTGGCGTCAACGTGTTGAATCTGTGACGTGGTGTGCAGGCGACTGGACGAACAAGAACGTACGACTTCCGGTGAGTCTGCAATGTAAGCAGCGTCGCGTGCTCCTTGCTGTTTGCTGTGTTGCCCATGCGTGCGCGTTTGCTAGCTCCTGCGCATAATGCA